TGGTACATAGTTACCTCTTTACGGTTATTGGTATTATATATATGTTGCATAAACCCTCAAGCTAAGCACAGTTTTTCTCGGCTGAAGATTTATGCCGGCCTTCTCCTACAATTCTTCCTTTACAGAAGAAATTTGCAACGTTTTAATTAAGTCTCTTGTACCTCCCATCCCGAAATAAAGATCCTAATTGTTTTATAAGTTATTTTCATTCAACAATCAAAATCTTTATTTCATAATGAAGTGAGTATCAATTATAGATGTCTAAAATGTTGTAGGACTATCAATTATTATCACTGAATACCTTCAAATAATGATATTCAGTGGCCTCAAGAAATCCATTTGTTTTTTTCTTTTTCAATCGATTATCACAAAGTTGATTTTCCATAAACTTCTTGTTTAGAAACGTCAAAGTCTAAAAATCAATTAAAATTTTGTTAGAATTGGAAATTGAGGTGTCCGAAAGTTACTACTCTAACAAGATTTTTAATTACCGTAAACTCATTATTCAAAGGGTCCAATAATTGGATTCCACAAAGAACTTGCATAGATAATGACTTGCTTAAATTTACAGTAGTCGTGACTTTTGAATTTCTGGTTCCTTATGAAGAGATCATAAAGTTCATTATTTTTCTTGCCCTTTTCCTTCTAGTCTCCTTTTCAGTTTGAAGTCTTGCTTGAGTGGATTAATCACACAAAAGTCAACTCTTCCTCTCAACAATAATTGTCCAAAAGAAAAGACCAAAGAAATGAAAGATTTGCACAAGACGATTTTTTTTTAAAAAAAAAGGATTTGCAAAAACCCTTTTAATGAAATTTGATTCATCTCTTTTCCAAAAATTTGATTCATCTTAATTAGCAACCAAAATAATATATGAAATGTAAAAAAAAAAAAAAATGTCCATACATATCACCAGGAAGGAGTGATCCCGAGTGGAGGACATGAGCATGTGGAAGGTAAAGACTCGATGTTACTAAATCGTTCAAAACTTTTATCTACAACGTTATAAATTCCCATGTCTCCTATACCTCTTAGACCATTCCTTAACTCAGTTGCCTGACCATCCCTATATTCAATACAAGTTCCCGATCCGCAAGCTTTCATAGAATTGTCCGTAAAATAGATACAGTTGGATTTAATCATGTGATTCGTCAAAGCCGAAGTGCTAAAGATAGGTACCGCGACACTCGCAGTGTGGCCAACAAAAATAGCATGGTCTCTCAAACTATTGATTTCTTCCCAGTCGTACTTCGTCACGTCCAATCAAACGACTCGAAAATTAGTAACTCGGCCAAAAGTATCATCTTTAGTGGTGATACAAAGGTCCCGTGTAGTAAGTAACAGCTCCCCCATTGAAGAGGATCCTACTAAATAGCCTTGTGAACACATACCAAATATGCCATGACTAATTAATAGTCATTAGAATATGGCTGCTGGCTTGGGCATTATTATCATATACCAAATCAGATTCATCCCAAACCCAAAGTTGGTGCCTATGGCTGATACCATAAAACTTGCCATCCAAGTAATTAACATCCCAGAAGTACACACCATCAGTTGATTCGATCTTGGTCCACCTCAAATTGTTAGGCCCCCAGACGGCCAAGAAATCAAAACAATCGCAAATCACCATTATAACAAAATTTGATGTGTGGGATGGATTAGCTGACAGAAAAGCTCTGTTCATGAATAAAATCTTGGAACTTGGAAGGTAACAATTCCAGTAGGAATCATCGTATCCAGGACATGTTTTAAAGTTAGGAAGTTAGATTTGAACATGAGTAAAAGGGTTTAAGAGATTCACTTCCCTTGAACTAGCAACCGTGAATAACCACCCGAATCTTGCTTCCATGCAATGCTTATCATTTGCCCCCGGGAGTGGCGATTTCATGAAGATCTTTTTCTTCATTGTTTCCTTCTTTTTCTGTGTGCATGAGTAACGGAATATGTCAAAGTCATCTTGGACTCTCATCTCAAAACCAAATGGCTATGAGTGGGTTGACCTTTAACACTTATAAACAGGTGACAGATCTTTCATGATACTAATGTGGAATTCTTTGTCCCAACACCCCTCAAGCCCAATGGGGTATTTAGGCCATTTGGGTTGCACAATACAATATTATTCACCAGATATACTACTGGGTCAGTACACAACCCCGGATATAATGCCGGGTCAGCCAACAAGTCCGTACACATGGGTATATACTCCGGATATGCTGCCGGGTCAGTCCGCAAGCCCGCACACACGGGTCCATAGTTATCACAGGTCCACAGATCGTGGGCTCTGATACCATGTCAAAGTCACCTTTGACTCCTATCTCAAAACCAATTGGCTATGATTGGATTGACTTTTGGCACTTATAAATAGGTGATAGATGCTTCACGACACCAATGTATGATTCTTTGTCCCAACAGAATAATGGAGGAGCAAGACTTGCCAATCTTTATCTTTGCTCGCGGCGACTCTCCAAGAAGTAAAACCCCTCTGAACGCCATGAAATCTTCGTCCGCGGGTATCCGTTTTGCTATCTCCACCAATAGTCGCGTGCGTAAGACCCAACCAGTCTCTCTTGGATTATATTAATGAAGTGACCAAAAATGAGCGAACTTAAATCCAAACAAAAATTGGAATTAAGACACGATCTAAGGTACAAAGATACAGGAAATCTAAGAGGTTCGGTTTGTTATTTATAAAGGAAAAGGAAATGAACGATTACAATTCTGGGAGAAAGAGAAAATAGATATAGAGGCAGCAAATATTCTTTTGATCCAAGTAGAGATAATATAACCTCCACGACATTTGAATTTGAAATTTCAGACCAATCTATAGTACTTAATTAAAGCAGCAAACAAAATGACACATGTCAGCTCCACAATGAAAATTTTCCCTCCAAAAGGCTTTTTTAGTACAAAATGAAAACTGACATGTGGCACTCTAGATTTTCAGAAAAAGACAGCCTTGAACAAACCCCAAATTTATGTCAAGTACTCCCAAATAGGTTAGTTATAGAGAAAAATTTAAAGATAAATGAAAAGATAATAAAATTCCCAATTTTAGCTCTATCAGGCTATCAAAAAATCAACCCAAATTCATTCCAGAAAAATCTCCGGATGGATAGGTTTCACAACACAAACTCTTCCCAATCATATTAAATTCCAACAATCTTGCCATTGAATTAGTAAAATCAAAATTCAAGCCATGGCTATTTAGTTTCCATCAAAATATCTTAATACTTCATCGGGAGGGGCAATAGAATTATCTTCTCCTTCGTCAATTTTTCACCGAAACAGTCCCAGGCCATATCCATGTATTTCTCCCAACACGTATTCGGCAGCATCTATGAGAAGGTCCTGTAAGACTCGAATCACAACAAGGGACATGGAAATCCAATCGCGGCAACTATCGGAACAACAAGCCGTCGTCAGAACCAGCTGGAACGCTAAAATTCATATTCAGATCTAACCAATCCGGTACGAAGCATAGGAAGGTACTCACCGATTTTTTGAATTTGTGTATTGGAAAAAAAATCCTCTTTTGTGCTTTTGTTGAATCAATCGCAGGAAAATTAGGATACCGGAGGACCTATTAGCATTATTATTTTCGTCCTCTGTTTGATGACCAATTGAAGAGGAGATGCTTGATTGATAAACAACCGATAGGGAAGCAGCATCGGTGCGGAACCCAGGAGCACACTACCCTTTTTGGATGAATTAGGGTTCTGATAGTTTTGGATATTTTTTTTTAGATAGGGTTTTTTTTTTCAGTTTCAAACATAGAGAATCACATATTTAGACTATATGTTCATGCTATTGAATAGGTGAAGATTCATTTTTTTTTAAAAAAATTGTTTTAATGATGCAGCCGGCGGTAGGTGTTTGAAAAGGCCTCAATTGCGCTTTGCCGATTACAATTTCGTGAGATCCTGATGAGGTCCAGATGGAAGCCGGCTCGATTTCCGCTTTGTAAGTAATTTCCTATTTGGCCTAAACCTTCTCTTGCTATACGAAAAAAGGCTAGATGGCTCCATAAAACTCTCTGATAATTCCTCAAATGTAGAATTTATAGAATTCATATTTTGGTAATTGCAAGTTTTTTCTTTTTATTTAGTGCTGATTTTGGTACAGGGCATCGATTTTCAATCATGGACGACGAGGTATGATTAAGAATCGGATTAGGGGTCGTTAAAGATGAAAGCTCAGAATGAATAAGAAAAAAGAGCATAGCAACCACATTTTTTTGATGTTTTGTTCAATGATACTTTTGCATGCATCATTCTTTGATTTTCTATGTAGTTATGGATGGGAATACATCAAATAAACTTTGTTGTGGTATTTTTCTTGATTGGTGTTGAAGAAGTGAGTGGGGAGGCTCTCATCTTAGCAATGATCTACCTACTCCTAAGGAATAAAAATTGCATTTTGTGGAAAACCTTTTCTTCAGTTATGCTAATTTGTTGTTATCATGTTTGTTTATTGTTTTCAGAGGGTACTATATTCTGACACGAAGTAAATATTTATGATTTCTACTTAATATGTGATCATTTTCTTTTTTATATATGATGGATTATGGATTATGAATTCTGTTCGTAGATGGATTATGAGGTTTTAAACAAGTTTTCTTGCAATAGAGATATAAGGCCTTTATTATTACATAAAGTTGTAGCCTACAAAAATAACTTGATCATTTTCTCTCTGAAGGGTGTAAAAATAGAGCTGTCCTCTCTCTCTCTCGCTGAAACCAATCTAAACTTTCTCCCAGCCACCGGCCATAGGCCTTGAACCTCCTAAACGACCCTCCTTCGCTCAGATTTTAGGATCTACTTCAAATCCAAAAACAATTCACTCAACAAAATCCCAGGAGCTAAGCACTCCTGTAATACTCTCAGAACCGACACTTTTCAAAGGAGAGACAACTTTTCTTCTTACAAAAGAAGAAGATGAACGATTGGCTGCCCCATTCCGACTTGCTCTAGCTAGTAAATTTACCAAAGCCCGACCAAAAATGGAATATCTACAAAGAGAATTCCAAACTATTGGCTTCAAAGGGAGCTTTTCCATTGGTTCGATTGATTTCCAGCATATTCTCATTTGCTTTGACTTGGAAGAAGATTTTCACCGTTGTTGGCTGAAAGGTTTATGGACCTTTGATGCGCATCGGATGAGAGTCCTCAAATGGATTACCGACTTTAATCCATCTCATGAAAATTCTATTGTTCAGGTTTGGATTTCCTTAGAAGGTCTTCCCATTCATCGTTTTAACAAGGATTACTTTTGGAAACTAGCTAGCATCATCGGTACACCACTTCAAATAGACATCCCAACCCTCAATATGTCACGACCATCAGTGGCTCACATTTGTGTAGAGATAGATCTTCTCAAGGAACATCCCATTCCAATTCGGATTGGAGTTGAAGGGAATTCCTATTTCCAATCAATTTTTTATGAAAACATGCCTCAATATTGTGTAGACTGTAAGAAGATTGGACATGACCGTCTTTCTTCTCGACATAACACAACAGTGGCCTCCCAAAAAATGGAATCTCGCCATCCCACAAAGCATCTTTTAGAGCAACCGGATCTAGTTAAACAGCCAGTTTCAAGCCCAATAGTTGCATCAACACCAAATCAAGAAAAAGAATTATTAGCACAGCCTTCCTCTATGCAAAAAGCATCGCAGCAATCACTGCCGACTCCCACAGCCAAGTCTGCGATGGATTTGCTGCTGAAACCAACCGCTATTTATGAAGAGCCATCTACTACTGTAGATCGAACGGTGTTTCAATCTGGGAATATCATCACTGCCGCGATTATAGTGGCTACATCTATTGATGCGTTGCTGCGACCAGAAGCAGCAATCGCGCCTATTGCTACAGCCTTGGACAAACCCTTATCTTGTGCGCTGGAAACAAATCTGCGGCCTGCAAAAACCCTTAAAAGGTCAACCTCAGGATTAACGATGGCGGAGAAGATTTCCATCCCAGTTGATATACCAGACAGCCCTCCGTTTCTTCAAGATGCGCCGTCTGGTGAAGCTGCTGTTGGAATAGAACTCGAAGACACGCTCTGCAATCAACCAGATTCTCCAATTGCTATTGAGAATCACCATCTTCCTTCAGCATCAATGGCCGCTGCTAGCAAAAGTTGAACAACAACATCGCTGGACGTGGAAATCCGGAGTGGAACGCCGGTGGATAACTCCCTGATTATACGCCCACCTTCTGCGCAACAAAATCCCGTGAACGATGTAGTTGACCCGGCGCCCTTGGTTTCAAAAGAGGATAAGATGCAAGCGGACTCCGCAGCTACTGCGCCATCAGCGGATAAAAGTTTGACCCCTTCAAATCAGAAAATTTTGGCACAGAATATGATCGCCCCAAATCAGCACGTTCCAATTTCGAATGAGGAAAAACCGAAGCCAAACTCTCCCTCAATGCAAATTTCTCGCTTAAGTTCTGAAAGTATGTTTTTCAAAAATAACAAGTCCAACTCCAGTAACAACTCCATTCAAAGGTTAAATCCTGAAACTCCAGAATTTACGGTCTCTCCTCAGCCCAGTCTAGAGGTTTTACTACAACTTACGGCCCCAAAATCGTACTTATCAAAAGATGATACAGAAATATGGAAGAATACTGAGACTTTTCACCCAAACTATTTGATTGAAGACATACAATCTGAAGGCGGACTAAATGATGCCTCAAATGATTCTGATAATGATTTCAATATGGAATATGCAATGGAACAAGAGTCTTTTTACAGTGAGGTTTCTGCTCCAACATACTACAATCGATCGAAGAAAGCTAAGGCTAAAAAGAAAGTCCAAGTTCGCCGGTCTGCTAGATTGAACAAGGATTAACTTTACTTTAAAATCAAATTTGTATTTGATATAGTGTTTAGTATATTCGCTGCCCTTTTTTTGTATTATTATTAATAAAATTTGTTGTATGCTCAAAAAAAAAAGTTGTAGCCTACAACTTTGTTGCCAAATTGTTATCATTATTTATCAAGGAAAACTTTGTATTATGCAGGTTTGTATGCAAGCAGATCATATTGGAAGGGCACCGATGTGAAAAGGCACTAGCTTCCTTCGTTACAAACTGAGTTGAAAGCCTTTAGTTCAAACTAAATTCTCAATTTTCATTTTGAACCAAAACTCCATGTTTAAGAGTTTGTGATTTCTCTGATTTCCTGTAAAACCCTTATTTTGATAAGATTTGGATTGATTGTGAGTTTGTGTACGTATGTTCCATGCAGTAGTTTGCATGATTTGTTTCTTTGCGTGGCACTTGAGAGTTTGATGTTGATTAAGGTTTGTACTTTTTTCTTTGATGATTGTGTTTGATGTTGATTTAAATTTTCATTGTGACTGTTGACCCAATTTGTACAGTTGAACCAATATGCAGTAATCCCCTACTTCTAATTATTTTGTCAAATGTACGAAGAAAAGCATAAATCAACACGTCCATGAAAATTTGTTTCCCAAATTTCTTCCGAGATGTGGTTATTCGTCTTGATTTGACTTGGAAGAGTAGCTAGAGGTTAGTTAGGGTACCGAGGAAGTCAGTTTACTTAAATATTGATAACCATATGATTTAATATCCCGATATTTTGAGTATAGCTGTAATTTGTTATTAGCTGTCGGACATGTAATGGGTTAACAACAAAGATTATTCTATACCAATTAGTGTTATTGTTTACAGGCACAATATTCTACATCATCTTACTCCAAAACACAGGCAGTCCCCGAGCGTTCGTCCAGAGCAATTATATAAATACATATTTACAACATATATAATATTTAGCGACTATAAATATTTAGTGGCTCGCCCGGGCATCCGCCCGAGCCAAGCATCTAGTATTAATGATGTTGAGGTTATGGGAAACTGAGAAAGTGATGAGAAGAATTAGGGGACACATATATAATATTCAAAAGGCAATTATGAGAATTCTATTATAGGATGAGGTCAGTTTTAATTCTGCCTATGTAGTTAGCACGATTAGGTAACGTAGATGTTATTGCAAATATTAAATAGTTTTAATTGGACCTTCATGAGAATTCTAATGGATCGATCATTTAATGTCGATTTTGACTTGATTATTTTGTATAAACTTTTGGCTAATTAGTCGACGAGAAAGGAGAATCATTTCTGGCTAGTTTTTTCTTCCTTAAAGATACGAAAATATTGTACTACTTATGTAAGTATTTTCAAAAAAATTGCATACTGAACAAAAGAAAAAGTGTTACTCAACAACTGAAATTATGATAAATGGTCATGAAGCCAGACACAATCATCGTTTAGAGTTTAGTCTTTAAATAACATGCTATGTACAATTCTATTGACAAAATATTATAATCTATAATGTGTTTTTGTACTTGTTTGTACCAATGCTGTTAAATTTTGATTTAATTTCGTCTTGTTGAATGTTATTAATTCCGAATAGTGGTATATTCGTCAGTGAAAATAGTTATATAGATTTGAACCGACTCTGATTGCTAGTTAGGGTTCGAGTCGATAATAATTTACTCCAAGTTTTTTATGTTTGTGAAAAGAATAATAATGATAATTAAAAGCCCCACATAATATTTTCGCTTTGATTGCAAATTTTGTCATCCTTTTTGTTGGTGCAAGAAATTTTTGTAGTTGATTTCTGACAAAGTCATTGTATATCGAAACAAATAAATAAAAAGTTCCAATTGGATATTACCATTAAATTTACCAAGTACGGTAGGAAGTACAGTAGCACATGGCTGATTAGATTGAATCGAACATAATAACAATCTCTAAATCGAACTCTTTCAAAAAAAAAAAAAACAAAAAACAAAAAACAACAGACGCAAATGGTTGAAACAATGATTTTGAAAAAAAAGGAAAACCTAAGAAAGTAGTAACCATGCATAATTAGACGAAGAAACGTGATCTATACATATATATATATATATGTATATATACCTTTTTCTGGGGTTTTCATAATAAAAAGTTTCGAACTGAATTAAAAATTAGTTTAATTCAAGACTCTGGAAGAAAATTCAAACCACCACTCTGGGGTTTTACAATAATATAATATATATTATAATAATATATATTATTATATTTAATATATACATATATATGTGTATATATATGTATCAGCCCGCTAAATTAACACACTTCACACGTGGCAGTTTGCAATATCTCATCCAGATGTTGCATGAAGATCCAAAACAAGCCTGGCAGCAAACTTTGCAATAAAGGGTTGGAGATTTGCAGCACATTTTGGAAAAATGGCAATTCGGCAACTCCGGCGCCCTGGTAATTTTTGAGGCATTGAAGAAGAAAATTGACAAAATGTTGGGTCATGAACTTGTGTGCCTCCACTTCAATTTTTACTTTTTTGAAGCCAGCGCCCTTAATAATTAATGATTCTATCACCTTCCACCCGTAGTGGAGTTTTCATGAGTGACTCGAAGGTATCCGGGGATTTGACAAATTCTTGATCACAACCATTAGCCAAGAGCTCTTGTAAATTCTGAATTAGTAGGGTGGCGGTCCTGGCGGAGGACATTTCGGCCGGTAAAGGGCCGCCACCGTATGCCAAATCAAGAGCAACAGTTGCTACTCCCTTAAAGCCAACATGGAGGTCGTGATGAAAACCTCCTAATGCAAATGGCTGTGGATGAACTCCGAGTTTTACTATAAATTGACCCGTCGGATTCGACTCCGAGTCGTATTGCGCCCATATCCTATCAGTTGTAACAGGTGGTTGAGCTCCGTCAGGTATCACTTGTATCTGCGGGATGACATTAACGATTGGGTGAAGCGCTATGGCTCTCCCCTTTTCTGGTAGCCCATCTGGAAAATATCTTCGTACGATATGGTTTAATTTGAAATTTTCAGGCACTTCCTCCATAACATCGAACAAATTCTCCATTAGTTATAGGAATTGGTGGATTGACAAAAGGTGGTTACTCAATAGAGAAGAAGAGAGAGAAGAGGATGAACTTGAGGACAAAGAAATAGTTGATGGAAGATTCAACAAATTTGTAGGATACTTATAGTACTCTTACGTTCTCATTTGGTTATGAACCAAGGAATTTTTTTTCCTTCTAATTTCAAGAATTATTTCTTGTGATTTGATAGAGATTCTTCCGGTTTTATTAGGACGATGAAGTTTAATTGCAGGATTACAAATTTGATTCTTCTATATAAAAGTTCTAATGACGATGGATATGTGCGGCATGTAATATGTACTTCATTAGAAAACGTTTAATCATGCATGTTTCTACAGTTTTTGATTACGTATATATTCATTAATTCTGAGGAATTTCATGCACATATGTTGCCACAACGAGATATTCGATCAGCACTTCCTCCAGCCATTCAAGAACAAGAAGAACATATTTTTCCTTTTGCCTATGGCAAATTAGTTGTAGGGATCCAGTTGCAGCATTGAACGCATTATAAAAATTTCAAAATTTATTTTCAAAACCTCAAAAGAAGAAGAAGAAAATTTGTTTAGACTGTTGTTTTAGGCTATGTTTTATGAATTTTTATGTTTGATTATTGATTTGAAATGTATTTTGAAATAATTAAGTGTTAAGAATTAGTGAAATATATAGCGTGGCCCTGCCGAACTGCCGGATCATATATAACTACATTTAGTAGTTTGGTGGCAGGAAATGACGGGTGAAGATGGCTTGATTGGTTAGAGGAGATGGACTTCAATAATACTTTCATAACGAAGATATTTGTAGGACGGTTTTCTTTGTATTGGTCAATACTTTGATTTCATGAAATTGTGTTAGTCAATGTGTAACAATGTGGTTGTCTGTAGGAGATTTGGGGGAAGACTCTCCCACTGTTTTGATCACATGTATTGTTTATTTTGGATAGTTAACTGTTTTACATATTTTCTATTATGATAATTAAATTAACTTTTGTTTAAGAAAAAAAAAACTTTTAGTATCTAGGGTCTCTATAAACATTTCTACATTTTTGTAATTAACTCTAAAAATATGCGATTACTTATTTTGTTTCAATAAATTTGGTCGATTCCGACCTCAGGAAAAATAAATTTTTGATCCACAATAAATTTTATCTAGCATACAAAAACTCCCGTTAATTATTTCAACTTCATTCTTCCCTCCACTTTGTTTACAATAGTTCTCAA